ACTGATTGCTCATTTTGCAATCATCTGAAATAAGTGCCCCCACTTTCCTCTGAAGTGCTATCCTACACTGTACCCCCAATGCTGTTCTCTCTCTAAAGGGATTCTTTTTCCTGAGGTGCATTATTTTACATTTAGAAACATTGAACTGCAATTTCCACCTTTTTGACCAATCTTCCAACAATGTGAGATCATGTTCCATGTTACATCCACCTCCAGGGATATCAACCCTATTGCACACCTTTCTATCATCAGAAGACAAACCTTACCCAACAAACCTTTAGTTATATCACTTACATATATATTAAATAGAACAGGACCTAGTACAGAGCTGTGAGGTACACCACCACTACTGAGTGAACCCCATTTACAACCATATTTACAACCTATCTATCTATCTATCTATCCTTTAGCCAGCTGCATATCCACTGACCCGTATCACATGCCTTGCTGAAATCAAGATATGCCACATCCACAGCACCACCCTGGTCCAAAACATTGGTAATCTACTCATGAAATTCTACCTGATTAGTCTGACATGATCTGCCCTCAGTAAAGCCATGCTGCTTTGGATCCAGCAAGTTGTGTGTTTTTAAATGATCAATGATCCTTCTCTCAGGAGTGATTCCATTAACGTGACTACAACCAATGATAAACTCACTGGCCTGTAATTGCCAGCTTCTACCTTGATGCCCTTCTTGAGGATAGGTACAATAATAGCTGTCCACCAGTCATGGGGAAATTCTCCTGTTAGAAAGAAAGGAAACTAGGGAAAAAAAAATCCCCAATTAGTGCAATAAAATGAATAAATGCCTAACAAAGCTTCAAACAATTTACTATTGTTAAAAAAAAAAAAAAAAAAAAAAAAATGTTATCGCTTTCTAAATCTCTATTGGAGATATCTCTCCTCACTTCCTGTACTTGTGACACCTTCTACCAGAACAGGAAGCAAAGATAAATCCCACCAAAGGGGACACAGACCCTCACTGGATCCAAAATTAAAGAAAAGCTTTGGCTTGTTTTGAGCTTTAATAAATATGAACATTGTGTTAGGTAATCCTCTTATATTTCTGGAAAGGGTACATGGCATTCAATTTGTAATGTGGGTTCATGTTTGGGTAATGGGGTGGAGAAGTGTTCTAGAATAGTTTGGTTATGGTAATTAAGTGTGTGGTTGCTAGGGATGAGCCGAGTGGTTTTGAAAACTCTTCATTTTGCTCACTGAGCTGCTTAGAGTTAATTTTTTTGAGAGAAAACAAAAAAGATCTACCCTTTTGTTCTTTATTTAGAGGGTCCGCGTTTGTTGTGTGTCGGGGGTGGGGCGGTTATTTAGGGTAGTTTTTTTTTTTTTTTATTTAGTGGTCTTTTTATTTTTGCTCACTTAGCTGCTTAGAGTTAATTTTTTTGAGAGAACATAAAAGATCTACCCTTTTGTTCTTTATTTAGGGGGTCGGAGTTTGTTGTGTGTGTTGGGGGGGTGTATTTAGGGTAGTTTGGTTTATTTTATTTAGTGGTCTTTTTATATTTGCTTTTCTAGTTTATTTACTACTAGACTTTTTATTTATATTCTTTTGACTTTCCTTTTTTTGTGAATTTGAATGTCAGTGGTGTACTCTCAATTAATGTTTTTTATACTTTTTTTCCCACTGTCGGCTTTTCTGTGAAAAAAAAAAAAAATGATCTAGCTAACGAAGGGCAGTTTTGTAACACAAGAAGCGGTCCAGGGTACTTGAAAGAAGCTTCCATAACCCTTAGGGGCCTATGGACTCCAATACACTTTGCCAAAATGGAAAAAAGTAATTCCTTTGATCCCTTGTCATTATTTCTGGGGGGAGACAAAAACCCTCAATATTGCTCATACCCAATGGCCAAGGTAATTGTGTCTATAGGTATTAGAAACAGGATAAATTTGAGGCCTGTATGGCCTTTTCAAATTACCAGGAAATACTTAACTGCTTTCTTAAAAAAAATACAATTGTTCAAGGAGCTCCCCCAGCTCTCTAAGCTCCTTGAGAACAGAGGCTATGAGAACACTTAAAAAAAGGGGGGGAAAAAAGGTATTTATGTTTTTTTATATCTATGCACAAATATTTTGCCTTTCATTTCTATTTTAAATTTAATGAGTTGTTTTACAAGGGGAGAGTTCACATATGCTTTAACTCTTTTAGATTCTCCATATACGATAGCAAATCTTCACTGTTTGAGCTCAGGTCCACTTTATTGCAGTAACAATAGGCTATGTTTGGCCTTGGGTGTTGGCTTTTGTCAATACTGATGACACTTGGTACCTTGGCTCAAAATACTAAGATTTCAGGGTGTGTTTCAAGGCCCGAGGTCTCAAGGTTTGTTGGGGTGACATTCCTCCACGAGGGTGCAGCACATGAAAAGCTTTTCATGTTGTTTAAAAATAGGAGAATGAAAAGAATGTTAAGTGATATTATGATAATTAATATTTGCCCGGTCAGCAGAGTAAAGCAATCAAAGAGACAACACTTGCAGACATCCAACTGATAAAACAGAAGCTCTGATCAGAAACGCCAGCTGGAAACTGATTTTATTAACCTTTAGCACAAACACGCCATAACCTGTAATTAAAAGGGTTGGGACAGATTCTGTAATGTAAATGTTGGTTTCCAAGCTAGGGAACAATTAAAAAAAAAGTTGATACTAAATAACCCTTTTCCAAGATATTCAGACTCATGACTTTGGTTGTGCTTTATTAACCACTTGAGTATCAGCCTGTACTATCTATTCATTACAGACCATTTTTCAGTTATAAGCATTGTGTTAGTTTGACAATTACTCAGTCATGCACTACTGTATCCAAATGAGTTTTTAGACAGACAGAACCAGGGGCGGACTGACAACGCATGGGGCCCCCAGGCAATAGGGGATCATGGGGCCCCTGTGTCCTTGCCCAAACTCAAAAAAGCCTATGAAAAAGGTACCAGGGGCATCTCATGGGGCCCCCTACTGACCCTGGGCCCTCGGGCAGTGCCCGAGTTTCCAAATGGTCAGTCCGCCCCTGGACAGAACTGTCCTTTGGTTGTATTGGCAGCACAGTGGCCAAATGGTTAGCACTTCCGCCTGATAGTACTAGGGTCCGTGGTTCAAATCCCAACCACCAGCCTAGAATTTGCATGTTCTCCCTGTGCCTGCGTTGGTTTCTTCCCACACTCCAAAGACATGCTGATAGGTTAATTGGCTCCTGTCTAAATTGGCCCTAGTATGTGTATGAATGTGAGTTAGGGACCTTAGACTGTACACCCCTTGAGGGTTAGGGACTAACATGCATGTACAATATATATATATGTAAAGCACTGCAGAAATTTACAGCGCTTAATAAGTACCTGAAAAAAATGTAATCGCCAATGGGGTGGGTTTTTTTTACTATATACTGTAAAAGAGACTAAAAATTAAAAGAAAAAGACCCTTACTTTAGGTTGTTAACCACTTCAGTACTGAACACTTTCACCCCCTTCCTGCCGAGTCCAATTTTCAGCTTTCAGCACTGATGCACTTTGAATGGGAAATACGATAGTGTGGCGGGCTATCTGACAATAACTGACTCTGGTGGGAACTGAGTAACTGCCACTGACACCACTGACACCACCAGTGACATTAATACAGTGATCAGTGATAATATACACTGTCATTGTACTAATAACATTGGCTGGGAAGGGGCTAACATCTAGGGCAGGGTTTCTCAACTAGGGTTGCTCCAGAGGTTGCTAGGGGTTCCTTGAGCAATGAACAAATTCTACCTCTCAGATAAGTTCCCACTGACACCATTGATCTTTTTAACTATCTGTAAGGGGGTAATTATTATTATTATGCAGGATTTATATAGCACCAACAGTTTGCTCAGCGCTTTACAATATAACCGGAGACAATACAGCAACAATACAGTTCAATACAAGAGGGATGGAGGGGTCCTGCTCCTTGTAGCTTACAATCTAAGAGGGAGGGGCTAGTGATACAAAAAGGTAGTAACTGTGGGGGATGGACTGGTAGAAGGAGTAGAAGATTCCATTATTAGCTGAGGGCAGGATAGGCTTCCCTGAAGAGATAGGTTTTTAGAGATCACCTAAAAGTGAGCAGAGTAGGCGATAGTCTGATAAATTGGGGTAGAGAGTTCCAGAGGATGGGGGAAGCTCTGGAGAAGTCCTGGAGATGAGCATGAGAGGAGGAGACAAGGGAGCTGGAGAGCAGGAGGTCATGGGAGGAGTGGAGAATACGGTCTGGGTGATATTTGGAGACAAGATCGGTGATGAAATTTGGGGCAGAGTTCTAAATGACTTTATATGTTATTGTTAATGTTTTGAATTTTATCCGTTGGGCAATGGGAAGCCAGTGGAGGGATTGGCAGAGAGGGGTGGCAGATATAGAACGGTTAGTAAGGTGGATGAGTCTGGCAGCAGCATTCATGATAGACTGAAGAGGGGATAGCCTGCGATGAGGTAGGCCGATGAGGAGGGAGTTACAATAGTCTTCCCACTGACCATCACACTAGTTGTAGATATAGTAATTTTCAGCAGGGGTTCCCAGAGACCATAAAGTTAATTCAAGGGTTCCTCTGTGTTGAAAAGGTTGAGAAAGGCTGATCTAGGTGATCAAGGGGTTATATGAATGCCTAACAATGAGTAATGTGTGCTGCTTTTACTAAGAGATCTCTTTGTTTCTCATCCCTGCTTTGCAGGAATGAGAAACAGAGAGATCGTTCCTTCTGTGCAGAGCCATGTGATGGTTTTCAACACAGGGCACTGGGCTGTGATTGTACATAGCAGATGAGCAGATCCTGGCCAATGACTCATTGGTGGGCACTTGCTGACAGACACCCCCTGTGCACAATGTGCGCCCTATACCGGGAAGCAGGCAGTACGTTGTCTGCATGGGCCACCCATCTGCAGTACAGTGCGGGTGAGCAGTCCAGAAGCAGTTAATAGAGCTTCAGAATAACTGCGCCTTTCCCTGGTGCCTTCCCAAGAACCAGATTACTTACATTAACATCCATACTTTAAGCTAGCAGTACCAATAAGATAACTTTATGGGTCTGTTGCTATATTTCCACTTTTCTCACATGTGAACAAGGCCTTGAATAAAAAATGCACACAATAGGACCGAATGCACAGTGCCACCATCAACCCCTTGCTGCTCCAGTCCAGGGGCGGACTGACCATTTGGAAACTCGGGCACTGCCCGAGGGCCCGGGGTCAGTAGGGGGCCCCATAAGATGCCCCTGCTACATTTTTCACATTTTTTGAGTTTGGGCAAGGACACAGGGGCTCCATGATCCCCTATTGCCCGGGGGCCCCATGAGTTGTCAGTCCGCCCCTGCTCCAGTCTTTCAACTTGTGACTTGTGCTACAAAATTACACTTTAGCCGGCCATACACGGGTTGAATTCCGAAAGAATTTTCGTTCGAATTTGGCATCATTAGTGGGTCACAGAAACGGCTGATATTCGTGTGACCATCAAATATGAGCGATCAGGCATGTTGGAAATACTTTGAAAAACAAACAAATTTCAAATCAATGATGGCTGAATTGTGCGAGAAATATAATCAAAGAAAGGCGCGTGAGCTGTGACCTGGAAAGAAAAAATTCTTGGCCACGAAAATTCTTTTCTGTAGCAACATGAGGGGAACATGAGAGCAACATGAGAGCAACATTGAAGGCTTGGTTGGTTGAATTTCGAAATCAATGGTGGCACCATCGGATCACAAAACGCATTTAATTTCTTTAAATTCGTTCAGAAATCATCCCCTGTATGGCCGCCTTTTTGCAGCCTGATCACTCAGGGAGAGGAGACTAAGGAAATGCTTCTTTCTGCCTGCAGCTGACTCATAACACCATCTCAGCCTAGGCAAAGTCACCTAAAGTTCAAGAGCACCTTCTTAATAATAAAAGGTGGAGCTCTCCAAAAAAAAAAACATCCAGTTGTTGTATATTGTAACACATAGGAATTTATTCATGCCGTCTTGTAAAGTTGGAAAGTCTTGGAAGGTCCGCTTTAATCCCCTATATGTATTTTACCGCTAATAAGACAAACATGACGCTGAGTTTTGTGTCTGTACTCCTCCGAAGCTTGTTTTCAGCTGTTCCTGGAGAAAGAGCCTGACAGCTGGATGTGTGTTAATTTAGGCTATTCTGGAGGTGTCATAATCTGAGGCTATGATACAGGCAGGAGCATGCATCAGCCTGGAATGCTTACGTTAGCAAGTCTGTCACTGAGTTTACTTAACACTCATTTGTCTCAGTCTGCTTCAGAGCAGAAATGCAGTCAATGAAAACTTATTTAGCCCCCTGGACAACATCAGCTGAAATGCGATAAAGACGCCGCTGAGCAGACCTCTAGGTCCTAGATATTATTTTATGTGACCTGAAAAGCCATTAATAGCAAGCTGGCCAGACTAAACAGTACTCCGATTTATAGATGAGATTGTGGGGTCACACCGACAGATAGCCTTTTTTTGTTATGTTAAATAACTCCATAGCCATGACAATAAAAATTAGCATACCTGCACATTTATTTATCAATCAACTTAAAAAATTACATTTACTAAAGTGGTAGTAAATGTAACGCAATATGTAATCTGACAGCACTATATAAAAACCTGAAATAAATAAATAGTAAACTCTCATTTTTAACCGCTTCAGTGCTTCCCCATATCAGAAATACTGCTACAGGGTGGCAGCGCCCACATGGAAGAAAAATATAATTGAAATATATTTTTAAAGTATTCTTCCCAAATATATTGACATATATTTGAAATACTACAATTCTGTCCATATTCAATATATTTTAAAATATATTTCAATAAATATATATATATATATATATATATATGTATGTTGAAGTGCATTTTTTAAATATTACAAAATTATTTTTAAAAATATATTTTTTAAATATATTCTTCAGTTTTTATTTAACATATAAAAAAAAAGTCATTTTGACATATATTTTGTAAATGCATTCCAAAAATGTAGAATTGTATTTTTAAAGACACACAGTATATTTGAAAATGTATTTAAAAAAATATTTTTCATATATTTTGTAATAAAAACGCATTTCAACATACAAAAAAAAAAAAAAAATATATATATATATATATGTAATATGTATATATATATATATATATATATATATATATATATATATGTATATAATAATATATATATATATATATATATATATATATATATATATATATATGTGTATATGTATATGTGTGTGTATATATATATTATTATTATTTATATATATATATATATATATATATAAAAAATATATTTTTATTGTGCAGCAGCACAGTGGCTAAATGGTTAGCACTTCCACTTGGCAGCACTAGGGTCGTTGGTTCGAATCCCAACCACAACACCACCTGCATGGAGTTTGCATGTTCTCCCTGTGTCTGAGTGGGATTCCTCTGGATACTCTGGTTTCCTCCCACACTCCAAAGACATGCCATTAGGTTAATTGGCTCCTGTCTAAATTGGAGCTGGTGTGTTTGTATGTATGAATGTTAGTTAGGGACCTTAGATTGTACACCCTTTGAGGGTTAGGGACTGATGTGAATGTACAATATATATGTGAAGTGCTGCATAAATTAACGGTGCTATATAAGTACCTGAAATAAATATATATTTGAATATGGCCAAAATTGTAGTATTTCAAATATATATATATATATTTTGGGAAGACTATTTTTTAAGTATATTTCAAATATGGGTGGTGTGCAAAATCATGTATATATACATGATTTTGCATTTCCAGGTAGCCATTTGTGGCCTTGGGCTATCAATCACCTGGTCCCGGCCGGTGATTATTCGCCGATGCCCGGTGATTACCGAGCATCTCCAACGGGAAGGGGGGGGGGAACTGTTTGTAAACAAAACAGTTCTCTCCCCTGTCAGCTCCTGCACACCGCTTTGCATGGCTGTGGATATTGCTCATGCACATCACTGAACCGACATGGCTCAGAGACGTATAAGGGGGGCTGGGGTGCAGCCTCATGCAGAAGGTTTGTTACCTTAATACAAAGAACACAATAAAGCAAAAACCTTCTGTTCTTGGGACCGCTTTAAATCTCCTGGATGGTAATTGTTTGCATAGGAAAACAATACTGTACAGTGCAGGTGTCAAACACAATGCCCACGGGCAAAATCCTGCCCTCCAGATCATTTCATGTGGCTGTTTCACCTCTCCTGCAGTACCCCCTTGTCTCCTTCCCCACCTTGTCTCAGCAGTCAGCAGCAGAGAGGAGAATAGAACTCCTCTGCCAAATCCTACACCTCTCAGAGCAGCTGCAGTACCCCCTCATCTCTGCCTCCCCTGGTCTCAGCATTCAGACTCTGGTAACTGACTCCATTCCTCCTCTGGTTCTCCTCCAGACCCTGCACTTTCTGCTTTCCAGTTCTGCCCCCAGAGGAGGTGCACGGTGATATTAGGGAGAGTGTGGGATTCTTGACATCTAATGTAACGGGGGGGCTGGGGTGCTCTGGACATCTAGTCTTACAGATACAATACCCTTTGAGGATAACCATAATGTTGATAAAGCCCTGGATGAAATGGAATTTGATACCCCTGCTCTATGGTATACTGGCTTGTGCTGTGTTCCAGCAGTCATTGACTGTTTGTTTTAGTTACGAGCAATATAGTGAATGTTTTTACAGTGTTTAGCTAAAAAAAATGTGCATGCAGTATGATGATGAGACGGGTGATTATTCACCATCTCTGAAGCCAATGCTTAAATTGAAGAAAATGACATTGATTTATGTTGTTTTTCCAGCTTAAATACTGGACTACCTACTACTATTAAAGTAGACCTCTACTCAACTGTCAGCTTAAAGGGTTAGTTCACCTTTTTAAAAAAATACTGTACAGGGAGAGATTAGAATCAGTTAAGAAACTGTACTTTAATTCTGATTGCTAGCTCTTTTATATTGATAGGGCCTCGTTTTAAGTTTGGAGTGTTTAAAGCCAAAGCATTTACTTGTTGATGACCATCTGTTCTTGGAACTGCCTTTTGCTCACATATAGGCCTTTTTTTTGCCTATAAGCCCTAAAAATGGCCAGAATTTATTAGCAAGATTCACCCATAGAATTCAGTGGGATTGGCCACTCAGTCCAGGTTTACCGAATTTTAAACAGGATTTGCAGAACCCTTGCTGAATCAAACCTGGACAGATCATTGGTATAGATCAATGGTCTCCAAACTGTGGACGGGACCAGATGCAGCCCTTTGCTTGCCTTTATCCGGCCCTTGAGACACTTCTCCTCCAACACCAATGAGTTGGGGGCCCAATTTATTTTACCGATACCATAGATGGGGCATTATTCTTCCCACTCATACCAACAATGAGGCACTATTTCTCTCACTAAAACCAATGATGAAGCATCGTTTAATCCCACTGACACCAGGCATTTTCTACTCCCACTGGCCACAGTTCAGCCCTCCTAAAGCCTGTAGGCCAGTAAAATGACCCTTTGTTTGAAAAGTTTGGAGACTCCTGGTATAGATCCACCTTCAGTCAGATATTGAAAGGGTGTGGGGAGTCATCTCTGCCTCAATAAGACTTTAATAGATAGCCATAGATAAGGCATGCAGAATGGATGAAAGCTTTTTTTTTTCTATAACATATACATTATATTCCATTAATATATCTCTATGGGATTTATATGCAATATGGCAAAAGTACAGATGAATGAAGAACTTGTCTGTTACTTACAAGTCCAAAAACTGTCACTCAACAAAGACAAAGGTTTTCCTGTTGGTGCCATTCGTTAGTGTGCTAAAGCCAAAATTGGTGGAGGCCAGTTAAAAGGCCGTGCTGTCTCCATGAATGGAGATATGGCTTTGGTATGCTAAACTGGCCAACTGATAAAAATAAGAGAGAGACACACTGGGGAAGACTGGAAGACCCAGAGAGGGGGGACCTGACAGACTTAGAGACCAGCATTTGTTTCATCCCCTGGGATTGGTAACATCGGATAAACTTGTTGGCTAGTTATCTATTCAGTTTATGATGGTTTGAATGTATTGTCTTTTGTTCTTAGGTCTGCCTTCCATAGTGTAGGGGCTTTGTTATATGATAGTTTGAGTGTTACTGTGTTAATTGTTGTATTTTGAATTGATTTATATGCCACTTTGGATTGCTTCAGTCATGTTTGTGTAATATTTCCTTACCAGTAATTAAGCTGTCCATTTTTAATTCTTTTATACAATATACTGATTGTGATGTGTGCTTCATTGCTGACCTACCCCTATCCAATGGTGAGATGTGGGTGTTGATTTTTTTTTATTTCCT